GGGCCGACCCGCTGCATGAGGGGTCTACGTATTTATGTCTATGGTCTATTCTTATATCATGTCTATGCTTCCAACCGCCTGGCACACTTTGGCAGGCCCGTTTAAATTTCTTCAGAAATTTTCTAGTTTAGATTGCAATATTATTTTCAAACATCTTTTTGTTGCCATTAAGATCACAGTCAAGGTTTTCAAACAGACATGTGGTCAAAATCTATTGTGCATATGTTCAAATGTATTTTTAATTCTATGATGTATTGGTAGATATTGGATTGTTTCTGTTCAATTAAGTTTTTTTTCCGACTATCTCTCAGTGAAAGCCTTACAGTGAGCAAAGTGGTGAAATGGTGCCCTTTAAACAGTGTGGGATGTTTGAGTTTCTTACGCAAACAGGTCCTACCCACTTTACGGGAAACTGAGTCGATTTTGTTCATCAGTAAACAAATCAGATGTGCTAATATCCTCCAGAGTGGAAAAAAAAATGCTGTGTATTTTAGGAAAGCATGCCATTACTGAGAAAAATGAATGAAACAATAATTAGTTAAACTGCATGTCAGAATCAGGGGCACAGGACTGATAAAAATGTTGAGGCATATTTTTTTAGACGATCGTAACTTTGATCAAAGCACTTTTCCAGGATTGTGTCAGTGTTGTGTTTTACAGTCATAGTCACTTCAGTTAATTATATTCAGCTAGTGTAACATATATTGACTAAATAACGGATGCTCTCAAGCCTTTACCTTTTAATTACTAATGAAAATACAATATTTAAGATTAGAAAATCACTTCAGATCAATAAAAAACATCTTTAATACAGAAATGAGGCTTAATGGAAAGAATGTTTGATACCTTCTTTATGTTTGACATTTTCAAAAGGTACTTTTAACCTCATCTGGACGCTTGATCTAATTTTTTGAATATGACTGTAAATGTCTTTTTATCCATCTCTAAAAAAAAATTCGTTCTTGTGCGCTCTTTTCCAGCAACAAGTATTTCAACATAAGAAAGTGCAAAGGTGTGTGTACAATGAGAGAACCTCAGGTCAGAAGATTGGGACAAGTTTGTTTGACCCTTGTTTCAACACACATTGTAGTCTGAACTTTTGTTTAGTTAGTGGTAATAAATCAATAGGCAGAAACGGCTGTTAAAACAGTCACTGAACATTTACTCATTGCCCTTTAATTCAGTTAAATCTACACCAGAAGCATTTTATGAAGTTGGTTCATCAATTTCCTGGGTAAGAACAGTATCCATCAAGATATATTTAAAGCTGCAGTATGTAACTTTTGCAAAAACATGTTTTCCGTATTTATTGATTGAAACTGTCACCATGTCGTCACAGCACGGTGAGACAGACAATCTGTGAAAAAATATCAAGCTCCTCCATCTCCTCTCTAAGATACTATAGCGATCGCCAAAGAAAATGCACTGATTGGTGGTTGGTGAAACCAATTACCAATCAGAGCCAGGAGGCGGGGCTTAGAGCTGTCAACCAATCTCCTGTTACTGTTCAATGTGTTAATGGTGGGAAAGCAACTTACTGTTTCAGGAGAACTGTTTATCCACCGTCATCAGTAGCCATGCGAACTCGCAGAAGCTTTGGTCTATGTTGTGGGAAATCAGCTGCAACTTAGCCAAGGAGTTGAGTCCTGAAAACATCTCCTTTTGTGTTGTGTTTGTGAAATCTGGTCCATTGTCTTGTACTGCTTTTGTTGCCTGTTCAAGGTATATTTTTCTGGCAGTTTTGTATCAGAATATTTTATAGGTGACAACTGACTACAAAAATCATTGTGGTTTACGTGCCTGGTGTACTGTTTTGCTGTTTTCTGCTGTTTTGATATCCTAAAGGTCTTTTCCTGCGAGTGCGTCTGATCTGAGTCAAGTAGTAAATTTATCAGATGTTTTCCTCTAAGGTTAAAAAATGGCAGTCACTGAACACCACAAATAAAACAAGAACGATCTGAAAAATTCACTACCTCAAATACAGGCCAATCTTCAACCTTCCATTCATCAGAAAAATCTATTTTAAAAAAGCAGTCAACCGTGACTAACCGCTTTGACGTCTTTCAGTCCGGTTTCTTTGGTCACCACAGTACTGAGACTAGACATAATCAAAGGGTTCAGTGATAAACACATAAATACAGAATGTGGAAGGACCACATAATTGGTTCTGTTGGACCTCAGTGCAGCATTTGATACATTTGACTCTGACATAAAGCAACTAGCAAGCTGGGTCAGACTTTCTGGTACTTGACCCTTTTAGGTTTTATATGAAGAACAAGGACTTAATTGTAGGTAACTTCTCATCAGAGCGGACAAGTTACATGTGAGGCAGCCTGAGGTTCCAACCTAGGATTCCTGTTTAATATCGGCATGGTCTCTCTAGCTCAGATTATAACAAGAAATAGGAATAGTTGCTTTAACTGTGCTAATGATGCACAGATTTTAAGCAGCTCTATGATGTCACCAGGTGACTCTGAACCCATCCAAGCCCTGAACCGATGTTTAGAACAAATCAATGTGTGGATGTGGTGCAACTTTCTCCACCTGAACTGAAGCAAAACTCAAGTTATTATCTTCCTCTTTGGACCCAAAGAGGAAGGATTTAGAGTCAGTCAGCACACAGCTTCAGCTATTACAGCTGAAAACTAGAGAACTTGATGAAAATCTGGGTGAAGAGATTCATTCTGACCTGATCCAGAGACGGATAAAGACCGTTCTTCAGTCCACCACCTGAAGGACATTTCTAGTTTAAAAGACTAATGTCCCAACGAGATCTAGAGTAACTCATCCATGTGTTTATCTTTAGTTGCATTTATTACTGTGACACTCTTCTCATAGATCTGTTTAAAAAAAACTAAGTAAATAAATCAAAAATTCTCCAGCTCCAGTTAACACTGCTACTGCTGGCGTTCTCATTAAAACCAGGAAGATAGAGCACATCACCCAGCTCCAAAGTCCTTACAGTGGATCAATAACTGATTATTATGTTATGTTTTTATTATGCAAGCGCTTTGAAATGCTTTGTTGCTGGTGTGAAAATGTATTTGACCCCTCCTTATTTCCTATTTTAAAGCATCTTTATTGCACTTCTGTGTTTCAGAACAGAAAAACGAATCAAAGACAACACAAGTAAACACAAAATACAGTTTCTAAATGGTGTTTATTACAGAAAAGAACTCATCCATGTATTTATCTTTAGTTGCATTGACTGCAACTAAAGATAAACAGTGAGATGACAATGAGAATTTTTCTTGTGGCACAAAGTTAAAGCTCCACTGGCATTTCTCTTTTACAATACTATTGCACAGTGACTCTTAATTAACTACTCACTCCTAATCAATGACGATATCATTGATTAGGAGTGTTTAAAAATAAATTCACTGAGTGCAAGGACACTGCACTTTATTAAAATGTACAAACGTTTTGTGCTTTTCTGCTGCTCAGTGGCAACTATCTTTGAATTTTCCAATGAACACTTTCTAAAAACCCACCAAATGTTTTGAAAATCAGTCCAAGTTTTAACAACCTGCCCAAAGTTTTTCTTACCAGCTAAACTCATTGGAAAAAAGTCTGATGAAACTCCCCTTTCCCCTGAGCAAGGGTTTTGTGTGTATTAAGATATAGACGTGGATGATTCTGAGTCCATTCACAAACTTCAAAACTCAGTTATCTTCAGATTAAATCCAAGCCAAAGGGCCAAATGTGTCAATTTCCTCTGACAACTGAATTAAGTTGTATAAGTCTAAATTCATTTGGATTGACGTCAGTGTATTCATGTGATCCTCACTTTTCATGCTGCAAATAGAAGAAAAACAATCTGTTAAAATCTCTACTACTTCTATTTTGTATAAAACAAAATGGCTTTTAGACATTTTTTTTATTTCACTGATTGCCCAGTGATATGGTCGATGGAAATGCAGCTAGTGAGAGTGTCTTTACCGCTGAATCTCGTAAATGAAGCAATATGCATGCTGCTATTTTTCCATGAGAGTGAGACAATGTTACCTGCACCACAAGGGTAGTTGTACTCGGTCTCAGCTTGGTCACCTGTCAGAAAGGAAAAATAATAAATTAAAGGAGAATCACATCAGACTAGGCTGTGTAAAGAAATCAGGCTTTACTCGGCTGGTAGTAGTCATAGATCTTGATCACAGCTGGCTTCAGGTTCTGTACTGGGAACTCCTGTTGGAGCTCTAAGCTGTGGTTGATGGCTACTCCTCTCTGTAGCTGTTGGAAGAAGAACTGATGAGTCTCTGGTTTAGAAATGTGCAGACCGCCACCCTCTGTTACTGCTGGGAACTTCTCTTACCTCCCGAAGATACATCACAACATGATCATCCTTGTGTTCCACACGGTCCACCAGCTGAGCAGCTCTGAGCTGTAATAAAGACACCATCCAGCTAGCTGTTTATTAACGTTACCATGGCAACGCCTGAGACAAACTTTGACAGTCTGGTAGTAAACATTACCTTCTTCAGTGTCTCTGAGACTGGAGCGAATCCAGTCAGAACTTTGATGTCCACAATCACCATGTTCGTAGTGTTCTCCTTTCCACTGTACCTGATACAGCCAACAAACCACCTTCAGTCTAAAACGGTTTTATTTCTAAAATTAGACACTTTTTGATGGAGGGCTGTCAAACTCGTTTTTGTTTTGGGCCCAATCAAGATCATATATGCTCTTAAAGGGTCGGTTGTGCCAGAATGTATTGATGAAACCTTTTCACAAACTTTAAAATATCAATGAATTCTCAAAATTAAGCAATACTATTGAACATCTTTTCAGTCCTTCTATAATTTTGTGATTTTTTTTGTGTGTGTTTGTGGTACCAATTTGGAAATATTTGCAATATTTGCACTTAAATGCAACATTTTATTACTCACTGTATAGCTTATGGACTATAATCTGATATCAATTAAAGCTGAGGCAGCTGTTTAGTATAAATAGGAAAGTTTTAGACAATTTTTTGAGAAAAATCTGCAATAAACTCCCAATTAGCACAAAAAAAGTGAGGATTTGTTGATTTTGCATGAATTTCAACAATAATTCTCAAATAACTGGAGAGACTGATTGATATAATTTGGCAGTAAGCATATAAAAACTGCATTGATTTTATTGACAACATAATATGTAAGCATAACATAATATTTATAGAAAGGTATGCGGGGCTGGATTTGGCCCCTGGGCCTTGAGTTTCACACATGTGACTCACAGGGACTGCAGCTGAATGTTCAGTCTGGGTTTCTGAGGTGTGACGCTGCAGTCAGCCTCTGGTTCAACCTTCACTCTCAGTGTGGTGGCATCGGTAAAGGTTGGGATGTTGAACTGATGAGAAATCTGAGAAACATAAATATGGTTCTGTTTATTTATTTAAGCTGAAGCACCAGTTACCCTGAAAGCAGCAGCTGATGAGTCAAAAGTGTATTTGTGATTTTACTAATGAAATTATTCATACATATTTGAAACATCAAAATCAATCATTTACAAACGTGTCCTCTAAAGTTGTGTGAACGTTTCATTTGTAATACCACTTTGCAGGGCCTGGTGAATCTGAGCAGGAAGTGAACAACACCGACCTGAACTGAGGCACATCCAGTCCCCTTCACCTCCAGGCTGTACTTTCCTGCCTCGCCCTGCAGCATCTTCTCCTGGTAGAGCAGCTTGTTGTCTGGGGTCACATCAAAGGTCAGCAGACCACTGGGAGACTGAACTGTCACTGTGCTGGAACCTTCAGGACTGAACACCAGACTGGAGTAGAAGGACAGAGCCTGAAGAGCCACCACCGTGTCCTAGAAAGGTTCAACGTAGGAAAATCTAATATAGTCAGTTTACATGATAACTGAAATATCGACAGTAAATCGGCAATAAATAAGACATTTTATTACCACTGTTCAGTTTCATCAGTGTTTCCTCAAAAAGCGAGTTATACTGATTCATAGAGCTTAACAACAAGCTCTATTCTGATCACTAAGGTGATCAGAATCTGAAGCTTTCTCACAATTATTTCCTGATAATCAAATGGTGCCCAGACTTTATTATTGTCTTTTATTAGCAGTCACTCTTAGCTAAACCAAATCTTCTCAGTGATTCTTGAGAATAGGGACAAAACAGGTCCTATGGATAAAGCACAAAATTTGAACAAAATATACACAAAATATAATTTTTTTCACTCAGCTAACCTGGGTCA